ATCGTATTTACGATTCCAATGGAATAAATTATGACCATGGAATATTAGTGTTTTTTTTTTTTTATTATATATATATATATATATATATATATATATATATATATATATATATATATAAAATGGTTGTCCACTTGGAACTTATTAATGCCTGTCTTGATAGGGTGACAAACCAATCCCTGTTGCAAACACTTGGTCAGACACATTTCTGTTTGTTCAATACCAACAGAACCCACGTGTGGTTTATACTGCAACTTTACTTTGTAGAATTTAGTCACAGTTTCTGGGGGAGAGTGCATCATCTGACATAATCAACAGTTTCAATAAGTTTAGTATACTTAAATCCTTGGTTATGATAATTTGTGACTTCATGCTAGCGCAACTGTTGATGAATAATTCTGTCTCCCCAATTTCTGTTAAAAGGCTTTGGTCAACCCACTTTATGGCTTTAAGACAATTTCCAAAGATGCCATATGCTGCAATTAACTTCCCAGATCAATAATTGACAATTCAATCATAGTAAGATTTGAACCCAGGTCTCATGGTTGGTAAGCAAACATTCTAAACACTCAACTATATATATATATATATATATATATATATATATATATATATATATATAAAATTAAAAAATTCTAACATAAATATGTTATAAAATCACTACAAAAATAGCTATTTTGTTTCAACATTTCTGGTGTCTTATCAAGTGATGGTGTTGAATGTAGAAATTTTCTTTATTCAACACCATTTTTGTAGTGATTTTATAACAGTTATGTTAGAATTTTCAAATAAATAATTATATTTGCTATACTCTGTTTTGAGTACTCTTTTAAGAATAGTATTTGTTGGTTATTGGAATTTATTCTGTATACATCAATCCTATACTTGGGTATATATATATATATATATATATATATATATATATATATATATATATATATATAGATATATAGAGAGAGAGAGAGAGAGAGGTGTGTGTGTGTGTGTGTGTGTGTGTGTGAATAAAGACAAAAGGAAAACTTTTCTTTACCAACACATTTTGTCCTCTGATAGACTTTATCAAGACAAATATAAGAATTTTATTTTAAAACATATTTATAAACAGCAGTAAAAATATTATTAGGTTTTCAACATTATTAAATATAAGAATGCTCAAAAATGTTCTTAAGGCTAACTGTAAAAGTTAAGGTAAACTATGGAGGGTGCTAGGTAATTTAATGCCTAATAAACAAAAGTGAGTAAATGTTGTTGAATTTCTTAATTTCTTATTTGTTTATTTATATTTAATTTTTTATATTAATGTAATTATTATTTAATATTTTATTTTAATAAATTATTTATGCATCTATTTATTTCTGAAAAGGTTTTGATTTAACCATTTTCTTTTAATTTTTTTAAATGTTTCCTTTTGTCTTTTTACAAATATATTTTATTTATATCTGAATTTTTACACATACTGAAGTGTATGCTGAAAAGTTCTTGGTTTAATCCACTTCCCAAAATCTGATGGTGTTTGAGGAATACTTTCTTGGTCATGCTGAAAACTTTCAACGTTCTTTCATATACTGGTGTGCAAATATTTTTGTGGGCACCATCTAACAAAAGATGGACCACTTTAAGCAACTTGAAGCTATAAAAAAAAAAAAAGATCATGCAAAACTATTGAACCAATGAATGATGCAAGATGATAAAGTTATGATAATATGCAAATTTCTAAGTTGGAATTGTTCCATCTTATTAAAACAAGTGTAAGGTGTTTTGGCAAGTCATTCTAGTTGAACATTAGCTTGCTTTTCTATACTAAAATCATGGATAAATTACTGCTGAAAGAAAGACAATGGTTGTGACTTTGAACGGGAAGATAACACAATGTGAAATAGCCAGGCAACTAGGAATTTCCAGAAATTGTGTTCAAACCATCCAAAACATGTTTTCTAGTACTGGATGTGTTTTAAGTGCAAAGAAAACTGGAAGACCACAAAACTTAAACAAGAGAGATAGAAGAAAGTTTGTGAGAAGCTTTGGTAGGCAATCCAAAATTAACAGCCAAAAAGTGAGGGGTGAATGCAGTCATAACAGTAAGGTTTCACTTGATACAGTTCACAGAGTATTACAAAAAAAAAAAAAAATAAAAATAAACAACTGAAACCAGCATATAGCAGCAAAAAGCCATCAGGATAGATGAAGTGGTCAATAGAACATGGGATGCTGGAAAGTACCAAAAACTAATTTTTAGTGATGAATGCAAAATAGTTACATTCTAATGCAAGAGAATACATAAGAAGACCAAATAGAGAAAGAAACAATGAAAATTAAATCACAAAGAGGGTAAAATTTGTTTATGGACACATAAGGATGTGAAGTTGCGTCAAGTGTGATGGTAAAAGAAAATTGGTAAAAATTGATGGAAATCTAAACAGAGAAAACTATATTAGATTTCTATGGTCTAATCTACTACCAGACTATGAAGAGGGAAAAATCTTTCAGCATGATGGTGCCTCTTGCCACACATCACTTACTACAAAAATATTTCTTATAGATGAAGATGTTTAAATTTTGTAAGACTGGCTAACACAAAGTCTTAACCTCAATATGATTTTGAACAATGGATGTATATGGATTGTTTTATGTATGTATCTAGAGTTATAGGAATGTTTTATTTTCCAAACATGGCCAGCACATTGTGGCCATGCTCATAGTTGATATTATTGAATATTGGGTTTTACTTCTTTTTTTTTTTATTAATAATGCTTTAAAAAAGAATAAAAAAAACTTAACCACAGTACCTTGTCAGTCATTTTAATTAAACTTGTATAAAAGAGGGATTGCTGCCCAAATACACAATTATATATATATATATATATATATATATATATATATATATATGTATGTTTTTATTACTGTAAGTTATTTAAAGTGGATACCTATATGAGTAGACAATCCATTTATTTTTAAGAGTATCTTATTTTGTTTACTCAAATATGGGAGTCCACCAAAATGCCATTTAAAGTAATAAAAATATATTGGATGCGTGTGCAGTGTTTCCTTGAAATTTGTAGTTGAGGATGTCATTTTAAGTTTTCTTCATTATATTGTTGATAATATTTCCGCTTTTCTATGATTGTGCCTTCTGATATTTGAAATGAATTGTTGATCACAGAATCAACCCTGCATCTGAGATGGTCATTGTCCCAGAATTCATTGTTAGGCTTCTTCCTTCTTGTTCATTTTGATTCAGTTTACTGATGTTGAATGATTTCTGTAACAATGACCCCTATTTTACATGTCCACCTTCACAATTGTTAGGTTAGATTTTGAATGGTTTTTCTTGATGGAGTCACAAGTGTTTCTTAGGTGTACCTGTTGAGAAATGATCTTCAGAAGGTTCAGAATACATTTTAACAAGCATTTTTACCTTAGCTCAAAGACTGACCATTATTAACCACCAATGGAAATGCTTGTTTTATTTACCTAGTTTGTAGATTTCCTACAAATTCAGTAAACAAAACGGGTAGAAAAAATCCACTATTTTAATTATTTTAACAAGCATTTCTATTGAAAAAATACTATTAAGGTGAGAGATCAATAAAGAATGGGAATTAAGAAGACCATATATATATATATATATATATATATATATATATATATATATATATATATATATGTGTGTGTGTGTGTGTGTGTTCCTGATCAAACTGGACTCATAAATAATTACATCGGTTACACAACCACATGCTTATCCAGACGTCTTACGTTACACCTATCTGATCACAGCTCCATTAGAACCCATTTAAACACACACACAAATTTACCAGACTCTATTAGAAACATACTTGTAGAAAACACAAATATATTAACTGCATCCACCTGCAAAAAAAGACTAAAAATAATGGAAGCTTTAATAATAAAAAAGAAAAAGCCAACTCTTAACAATATTAACTACAAACAAAGCCACAATGTGCTAACCGTATTCAGAAATTAAAAACATCCCTACCACACACTAAGACATACACAGAACACACACACTCAATTAAGCTGAAAAATCAAATCATCCTTGATAATGGCTAAAGGTATAGCCAAAAGTGCCCGGAAATATAAAACATTTGGACAGTTCTTACACACCAGAAAAGAAAGCTCTTGTTTGAACACAAGAAAAATTAAATAAAAAGCTTAACCGTAGTACCTTGTCTGTCATTTTTAATGAAACATGCATAAAGGAAGGATTGCTGCCTAAATATACAACTATATATATATATAATAAATAAATATCGCTCATTATCTTCTGTCTTCTTAATTCCTGTTCTTTTATTGTTCTCTCTTCTTAATGGTGTTTTTTTCTCATATTCTCTAACACCCAGTAACCCTTTGTGTCTTAGTGGGTTTATTGCTTTGCTTGGGGTGAAATGATTAATATGTGTGTGTGTGTGTGTGTGTGTGTGAGGCATTCAAGTTATAGTTTGTAGAACTGCTTAATACCAGCCATATAACAAAACTGTAAGAAACAAGCAGAAATCTTTATTGTTTAATCATAAGCTTTTTATAGATTAATCTTAAGAAAATGATTGATTAAAATGAACCCCAAAATATCTTCTAAGTTTCCATGCAGAATCATCAAATAGATATAAGCACTGAATTTTAAAGGAGTGGATTAAAACTAAAAGAAATTCTTATCCTTCTTTTCCTTCATTAAGAATAAGATGAAGTCACAGACCCAAAATTTTAATATATCTGCATATTTAATGTCCTTCATTCCACACTAATTGCTTTGAGAGAATTTTTTGGGAAATGTTTTTTTCAGTCATGTGAAACAAGTTTTTTTTTTTTTTCCTCCCCTTTCCTAGACAAGTATTGTCATGACTGGCACAACACTTGAGAACGTGTTTCACTTACCCAGCCTCATAGCAGCTCATTGCTCTAACTACTGAGCTGAGCCTGCAAGTGTTTTATCAAGTATTTGTTGAAGGTCAAAAGAATCTAATATTGCTGCTGATGTTCGTGCATCGATGCACAGTGTCACGCAACTTATCATTTGCCCCTTTTGCTATTTATCAGAGCTTTACCATCTGATTCATCTGTCAGTTTTCTTTGCTGAGAATCGAATTTTTTCTCTCATAAACCTCCCCCACCTCCAACATTCTACCACCTCTCCCTACTCCCATCCACCGGCAAACATGTGACATTGCATACTAAATTGATAACAATCACTTGGCAATAACTATCCAGTACACCCTCTCCAATAATTTTTTTTCATTTGAATAAAAAAAAAAAAAAAAAACATTATCGTTATTTGATTCATTTGAATCTAATGATAGAAAAATGCACTTGCTTGAAGAAAAATCATAAAAAATAAATTAAAAAAAACTGCAAATGTCTGAACTGATTTGGCATTTTGTTTTACTTTTGACTAATTATTTCCCTGTTTTTCTATATCTATCTTTCTACTTCCCACAGGCTGTCTTTTCTTCTCATTCTTTTTCTTACTCTCTCTCTCTCACTCTTTAAAATCAAAATCTGCTGCTTTCTACTTTCAATTGTACTCCCTCTTCACATCCTTACTCTCCACACCTTTTTCTTCATTCTCATCATTACTCTTCTTTTATTTCAATCCATGTCGTCTTCCATTTTTCTTGCTATCATCCTCACTTTCACCCCTCCTTATTTATTGTTACTATCTTCTCTTTTCACTCTCCTTCCATTTCTGCACTCTTTTCTCTACCTCTTCTCTTTACAACCTCTTTCCTGTCCTCTTACTTTCTTAACTTTCTCTTTTCACATTCCTTTTGCCTGAGTTTTCCTGATCAACTCATTACTCTCCTATTCATGTACATACAGTTCTTCCTCTTCCTCTGACTCCTTGTTCTCCTCCACTTTCTCTTTTCTTTCTCTTTATCACAATTCACATTCCTACCTCCCTCTCCTCCCACTCTACTCCCACTCAATTCTCCAGTAGTTTCAGCAATGGCATCTCCATTCTTGTATCAAGCCAGTGTGCACTAGTGAAAGATTTTGGGCGCTTTAGCCTCCCCTGTCCTTTTCCCCTGGCTGGTGTGTCAACTTCACTTGAAGTTCCACTGCTAAACTGGCCATTTCACAAGGGGAAGAAAAAGACAGAGGAGGTGATTCTAAGAGTGTCTACCCAACACTTTTACCAATGTTGCCATTGTCGAAACTACCATCGCTTCAACAACCATTACTAACATAACACGATCACCACCAACATCACCGCCACAGACATCTGCCTTAAACTGTTACAATCCACCTCTGTATCCCTCTTTTATTTATTTTCCAAGATGCACTACTAAGTACCGATAAACCATTATTTGTCTAAATGGTGGAGCAGCTTGTTCTTTTCAATCCCTACAAGATGGTAAGTAGAATCCTTCAGCATATTTTATATGTCGCAGTTTATGAGGCTTGCCGGTTGTCTGCTTTACTCTGCTCCCCCTTCTACTTTTTTTGCCATATGGCTGGTTACAACAGGCCAATTGTCTGTGGAGATGTCGAGGAATATGGCATGATGATTCCACTTTTTGGAATGCTGATCACTGCTGCTACTGTTGCAAGCATTTTGTTGCATCAGTGAAGGAACAGGCAAAATGCAGCAGTTAGCAACACTGTGTGCTTGCATTAAATCTGACAATGCATTCCTTTGATCAGATTATTTTTATTCTGATTATGGAAACACCCAGTAGAATAAGTATTATCTGTACCATTTTTTTTTCTTTTTAAGAAACTTTTTATTTATGGTTTTCATTATTTTTTGAAATTGCTTAATTTATTTTTCACTGCTTTTTACGTTATCATATTAAAATTTTAATAATTATTTTTTTTACTTATATCATTTTTTATGTGCAGCTATATGTGTCTAATTAGTGTCATAGTTTCCTCTTGAAAATGAAAGTGAAAGTAAAAGTAAAGAATATGAGACTAGAAGATTTCTAGAATTGTCTCATCTTAAATTATGCATAGTTACCTCATCATCTCAATACTCTCTTGTTAGTCAAGATGACATCAAAAGCATTTCTGGAACCTGCTTCATACTTATCTTTATTAATTATTGTTGTTTTTCTTTTTTGTTCCTTCATTCATCTAAAGTTATAATTACTTCCCAGTTTACATAAAAATAGCCCAATTCACCATTTCCCTTTGTTCCAACTTCAGTATTAGCTTCTCTACCCTCTTCTTCCACATCATTTGATGCCAAATTTTCACATTATCGCATGTGATTCTTCACAATTACTTTTTGAAATAGTTTTTCAAACAATTTTTCAAACACTTTCTTTGTCTTAAAAAAAATCTTTCTCTTGAAAAATTCATTACTGGCAGCCAAATAACTTGCTGTTTTATTGTTTTTTGAGAAAAAAGAATTTGCTTATTCATTAATTATGTAATTAACTTTTTGCTGAATTAAGAATTTGTCCTCTTTAGAAACTCACTCTCATAATTTCAAACCAATATGTCAATGAGTTGAGTATGATGGTGGTTCTAATGTAACTAGTGTTTAGTTAGTGTGTAGATTCTCTTGTTGGATAGTTTTAAAATTTGCAGTCAAAAAGGGAAAATAAAATGGAGAGTAAGAAAAGAAAAAATAAGTGGGGAGAAAGAAAAAAAAAAGCCGTTTTGGGAAACACAAAGAATATAGCTTTACATCTTCATTTTTCTTCTTTTCCTTCCATTTGTGCAGAAAATAATCGGAAGTTGTCAGAAGATATTTTTGGAAAGAATTCAAAGCTGGATTCATCTTCATTATTACTTTATTAAATACACAGCCTTTCTTTTAAATACTCACGCTTAAGACTTTCCTTCTGAAAAATACATTTAAATGAACAAAACTCATAAAAGCAATAGTTAGTCTCACATTATAGTTTTTAAAGTTAAATGCTTTCTCAATAATGTCTTGGCTCTTTTTCTTTAATTTCTTACTTGATGTAACTTCATTGTTACTGTGTTCTATTTTTCTGTATTAGTTTGCTATTGCATTTTTCATGGACCGCAGAATGAGATATTGCATTTAAATGAAAATATTAAGGTCTTATTTTGGTTTTAAAAAATAACAAAGAAAAATATTTAGACCCTATAAATTACCATGAATTTTTTTTATTAATATTTGTCTCCAAAAAATATTCCCAAGAGACTATGAATGAATAATGGATATTTTTTAATGTTTGAGTATTTATGGAATGGCAAAAATTAATCATGTCTGCGATGAGGTAATATTCATTATGCAGTCTTAAAATAGCATGTGATTTACCTAAATATATATAGATAGCTAAATAAATGATGTTACTGAGGCCAATCCTGTAGTATTGAGAAGACTTGCTGTCACCTGATCTCTAGGGAAAATCTCCAGTTGAATGAACTGAAATAAACCTAATATATATGGACAATAAATAATCAAGTAGTATTAAAAGCAATATTCATTCTACAGTCACACAATGGCATGTGACTTATGTAAGTATATACAGAATAAATATAATATCAATATAAGATATATACAGAATGTATATAGATAAGTAATCAAATCATAATAAGAGTAATAATGAATAGGATTAAAAATAATTAATTTACTTAATAGATAAAACTAAGTAAAATGCTTTCCACATTGAGATCCTCATTGGCTCAAAAAGCCAGCCCCTCACAAAGGAAGTGTCTGACAATGATGAGATTACTAGAAATATTCAGGAAGAAAAATAACTGAAAATTTAAAAAATTTTTGCACACAAAAAAAAATATCTTAAAAGTTTATCTGAAAATGAAATTCTCTGTTTTGAAACAAATTTTTTATGTAATTAAAAATATATCTATCTTCTGAGAAATGTGATTATTAGCAAATCCTTTGTTAGGGAGCTCCATCTGAATATGGAATAATCCACACAAAATGCTACACATTTTAAGAGAAGGGACCCATTGCATAATTAATTGTTACTTTTTCTTTTCTTTTTTGTTGTAAATATTACTTTTCCTTTTTGAGATTTTCTTTTGCAGAAAGTCTTACAGAATTTGTTTTGTAATTTTATGTGCTGGAAACATACCAATCAGCTTGTTTGATTGTTTTTTTTAATGAAAATATTTATGATGAATAACAAGAAAATTTTAATCTGATTTGTGTCTTTTTTTCATTAATCTTTTTGAAAAAAAAAAAAAAAAAAAAAAATCAATAGATTAATATTATGAGAATAATAAATAAATAAAAATGTGTGTGTGTGTGTAGGGGTGTGCAGGTATATATATATATATATATATATATATATATATATATATATATATATGAAAATGATGATGGCCTGACAACTGCGCCTAGCATGAAACAGCCTGTCGCCTCTGAGTGTTGACTTCAATGTTATATATATATATATATATATATATATATATATATATATATATATAAATAATCATTTTTTTAAATATGATTCCTTTGCTACATAAGAGTTCTCATGTTTCAAAAACAAGAGCTACTTTAATTCAATTTAATTTTAATAATTATATTGTAGGTTTTAGCTCTTGCTTTTGATGTAGCAAACAAATCATATTTTTAAAAAATAATCATAATTTCAGCTCTACTTTTGTATTGAGCACTTTTTTAAAAATAAAAAACAAAAATACTAAAGAACTTCAGATTATTTACCTAACAAGTTCTTTCCTATTTTTCTATATATTTGCACACACCTATATATTATTTTACACACACGCACACGTGAGGAGATGCTAGAATATTTTCAGCCTAATCCACTTGCCCAAATCTGACATAATGACCAAACATCAGAATTTTTTAACCTTTTCTTAGGTAAAGAACTTTTCAATATCAAGTTATATCTGTGTGGAAAGATTTTCATGACACACATTTGTGTTTGTGTGTGAATATATATACATAGATATATAATTACACATATATGATAAAAATATAATTTTTAGATATGCTATATTCATGGGCAAAAGTGTTCAATATTGGGGATTGAGTGTATATAAATATCAAAGAAACTTTCCAACTCCATGTTGACCTCAGTGTTCACTATATATATATATATATATATATATAAAGGATGAAAGAACTGTTCAGATAGACATCAAAATACAATAAAATTTCCAGGTCTCTTTTGTATATTTTAGGTAATATTACTTTTGGTTAAGTTTAAACATGGAAGAAATCTTGCTTAAAATACTTCATTGCACATTCTCTTTTGCTCATACCAAAATGTCTTTATATATAATGCCAAAAATCTATGAAGAATTTAGTTCAGTAAAGTCCAAAGTGAATTATTCCTTTTATTTATTTTAATATCCCTAACAGATGATGTGGATATGACAGTGGAAAGTGAAATTGGCAAGCCATGTTTTGAACATGGCTTGCCAATTTCTTTGCCAATTTCTTTGCTAGTCTGTTGCATTCACTTTCACACCAATACCCTTGAGAATGCCATAAATCCATCTCTTCGCACAGCTATGGATTAAGTAACAGAGTAGACTAGGGTCTCTAGCCTTGAGTAGTAATCAGTCACAGAGAAGGAAAACTTCAAATCATGCAGGAAGCAATGGGAAACTGCTCCACTATTTTCCCCCAAGAGTGCATAATAATTCACAGATCATAAAGAAAAAGAATCTATGGAGTGTTATGATCACCTACATCCTGAAGAGATATGGAATTTAAAAATACAAAAAAAATCTCACTAACAGAAAAGAACTCTATAAAAATCTATAGATGAAACAATAAGAAAGAAACTTGCTTATTTCTGGTATGCTAATCATGGTGAATTTAATGCAAAATTCTACTAATTTCAATAAAATAAAAAATTACCATTTAATTTACTTTTATTTATTTATTTTTTTTTTTTACAAATTATTTATTTATAACAGTTTTAGTTGATATAGGATAAAGCCCAATGGGGGCTACCATACCTCTCAAACCAATTGTGTGGTTCAAACTCCTCCCAGTGCTTTTGAACAGGAGTAGAGGTTTATCCCTTGTTTCCCGTTTAGGATTCTGTTTCTGGTTACTTCTAAAGTCTTTTCATTCTCTTTGACTCCCAATAGCTCCTTGTATCTTAGTAGCATTATTACCTTACCCTCGATGATTTGATTGAAAAAAAATTCACTAATATAGTTATTTCTTTCCTATTATCATAGCCTTAAAAATAATTCTAGCAGAAATTGTCAAAAATTCATTTGGGAAGAAAGTACAGGAAATATGGTCCAAGCCATTGATTTTTCTTAAGTCATCATCAGAGTAGGTAGAGACAACTGGTGAGTTTAGCAAAATTTGAAATGGTATAACAAATCTATTTTTTTTATAAGCTATTAGAAGTACGTGATGAAATTGTGTGGAATGCATTTTGGATATATATTAATCCAAATACAGCTTCCTGATTTCTC